GCTTTGTCTTGACATTTTTATATTGTCTTTGTATTAGATTACCGGTAGCATTGTCTTGACATTTTTATATTGTCATTACATTAGGTTGGCATTGTCTTGACATTTTTATATTGTTTTTGAATTAGGTTGGTATTGTCTTGACATTTTTATATTGTCTTTGCATTAGGTTGGCATTGGCTTAATATTTTTATATTGTCTTTGCATTAGGTTGGCATTGGCTTAACATTTTTATATTGTCTTTGTATTAGGTTGGCATTGGCTTAACATTTTTATATTGTCTTTGCATTAGGTTGGCATTGGCTGAACATTTTTATATTGTCTTTGTATTAGGTTGGCATTGGCTTAACATTTTTATATTTTCTTTGTATTAGGTTGGCATTGGCTTAATATTTTTATATTGTCTTTGCATTAGGTTGGCATTGGCTTAACATTTTTATATTGTCTTTGTATTAGGTTGGCATTGGCTTAACATTTTTATATTTTCTTTGTATTAGGTTGGCATTGGCTTAATATTTTTATATTGTCTTTGCATTAGGTTGGCATTGGCTTAACAGTTTTATATTTTCTTTGTATTAGGTTGGCATTGGCTTAACATTTTTATATTGTCTTTGTATTAGGTTGGCATTGGCTTAATATTTTTATATTGTCTTTGTATTAGGTTGGCATTGTCTTGACATTTTTATATTGTCTTTGCATTAGGTTAGCATTGGCTTAACATTTTTATATTTTCTTTGTATTAGGTTGGCATTGGCTTGACATTTCAATATTGTCTTTGTATTAGGTTGGCATTGGCTTGACATTTCAATATTGTCTTTGTATTAGTTTGGCATTGGCTTGACATTTTTCTATTGTCTTTGTATTAGGTTGGCATTGTCTTGATATTTTTATATTGTCGTTGTATTAGGTTGACATTGGCTTAACATTTCAATATTGTCTTTGTATTAGGTTGGCATTGGCTTAATATGTTTATATTGTCTTTGCATTAGGTTGGCATTGGCTTAATATGTTTATATTGTCTTTGCATTTGGGTTGGCATTGGCTTAACATTTTTTATATATTAGTGATATTTAAGTTTAAGACTTTGTAATGACTTTTTCGCATGGGTGAAAATAAATACTTATCGTAGCAAAATGACCATGCTATTATATCGTGTCTGTTACGTATATGAGATATGGGTAATTCCAACATGACTTTATTTTGTTGTTGCATATATCACAGAGAAGAGGGATGGGCAACTACATCATTTCTATTTTACTATGTTCTTTTACATAAGTAATGAAGTAAATGAACAAGCACACATTCTAAGACATTGTTTATTCAGATTCTTCTGATGCTCACATGAATCGGATCATGTGAAAACATACATTTGAAAACTGAAATGTAACATGTTATGGATTTATTTATTTTACCGCTTGTAATATACATATACCAAATAATTTACTATGATTATGAAGAGTACACTCGAACAGAAAATTTGGGTCACAAGACGTAAACACTTTATCGGAAGACGCTAAGACACTGTGGAATAAAATTCATGGTGATATTTTTGTTCTACCGAGATAATCCAAGTGTGTGCTATGCAAAATGGACGTCGTAAAACAAGATCGTTGATTTCTTTGGTTATGTTCGTTTCTCTAGAACCGAAGCTTGTCCATTATAAATCCACAAGATTTCAAATGTTGCATGGGTGCCGTTTATTGCTTTATTGTTTTTATTGTCATATCTTATAGACTGTGGGTTTATTATTGCGTTTATTATATGTCCTCCGTTGCAACTTCCTGGCACACAAATAAATTAACGTTGTGACGTCGTTTGTGAATGGCGTAATTGGGACCAATTATTATTATGAAGTTAAAGTCTGTTTGTTTAATTAAGTTTGTTTATTTCCAATTCACGTGGTTACATCATATTTATAAAATCAGTTTCACTGAGCAGCTATACATAGATTTCATACCATTTCATTGTGACTATTCTCCAGCCTAACTATCAAATCCACCATACTAGTTATGGGACTGAATCCAATGGCAATACATCCCTGCTTTCTTGGCGATTGATTTCTTTCATTATATGTTGCCATTCTACTTTAGCGTCACAGTATCATATATATAGTAATGGAGCCATTAATTTTCTTCGGTTAAGTATTATCCGCCTGTATGCACATGTGAGCACCATGCCATTATTGAATATAATATACTACATGTAAATGTAAATGATTTGTATTTTATTTTAGATATTTGTTTAAAATCAAAGAGTTCGTCAAATTAAAGCTATTGGAAGAAACATAAATTATATCCAATAAATTATTCAACAGCCTAATCAACCCAAGCGAAATAATTTAAATAAATTAGTATATATTGACTGCCACGAATACATTTGTAAATTAAAACACAAATTACCAAGTTAACACTTTGCACCTAAATTTAATGTAACATAATATACTTAACACGCTAAATTAAATTTAATATAATATATTGTATGATGCCTGGGCAGGTTCGAAACCTTGAATATCTATTTGTCAGACATATTTGTGCATTTAACAATGCCCATAGTACATTAAAAATAAGAGTTTACAACCGTTATATATATTTAAACATATTGTGCATCTAGACCATGTGTTAGAAAACAATTCTTCCAGCATCAACTATCTGGCACAACCCCTGGATAAGTTTTGCGATCTCATTATAACTTCAGGGCGTGAATAGATGACCAAAAATATTAAATATCATAGAATAAGCTCAAAATGTCTGGGTCTATGGTGTCACATGAATAATTTATGGAGGGTTTGGAATTTCTGACTTTCCAATGTCTTCATCAATATCTCTTGATTTATACTTCTTAACCAATCTGAAATATAAAAAAAAACAGTCAAGCGTGTACGTTAGTTTGAACATGGAAGGTACTTCCGTTAGTATCTTCCATGGTTTGAGTAACAGAATTAGAATTAGGGTAACAGAAACTTGTTGTGTCAAGGGTGATTAAAAGATTAACGTGATACTTCACTTAGTGTCACACAATGCTCTGATTGAAGTAATTATGGTCTAATCAGAGAACTCACACAATGCACACAGTAGTTTTGCTAACACGTGATTTCGTTGGGTAATCATAGTCTGTGGGGCTAATGTAATACATTTGACGGCTTCTGGTAAAAATGTCGAACTTCACAACGATCTACGATCTGTGCTATTAAACACAGCTATATGCAAGAGTTACTATTCATGATAGACCCCGTGACAAATAACCTATTTACAAATTTTGTATAATGAAAGTTTTTGTTTATATTACATCTGGTGACATTAAAGGCGCATTTTGTGGCTCTAAGTTAACAAATTTGAATTCAATTTCATAATAGGATATATTCCAGTTTCCTATTCTTGTCTAGAGTCTATGGTTCGTTTATGGCGTAAATAGTCAATAACCAATGCAAAAAGATGTTAAAAATGCCAAGTCGTTACTACTTATCCTACTGCAATCAAAATGTACGAAATGTTCCATAATTTATTTCAAAATTACTTATGCATCAGTAACAACATGAACATTACATTCGCCGATGTGCGACTTTTACATACCTAAGAAGTGAACTATTTTGAAGAAGTCTGGTATACTGGTGTTTTTAAATGAAATAATTTACCTATTTAAGAACTATATATTCTATACAGAGTTTTCAAAAAAGATTTGTAACTCAAATATTTGTTGGTAATGTCTATTTTTATGGTCTAAGTTAATTGTTATTGTAAATATATCCTAACAATTTAATGTAAAGAATATGTGAACATCATCAATGGCGAATGCAGACTCACTTTATTTTCTCTGATTGCTTCTCCTTCCTCCCACATGAAAAGAATATTGCCAGCGCTGCTGCCGATATCAGTAAAACCATTCCAACCACGGCATAAAATACATAATACCATGGTAAGCCACCTTGACCGCTCCGTGATTGACCAGTGTCACTGATCTTGGGTGTAGATGTAACTTCAACTTCATTTCCTGGAAGAAATAAACAGCGATATCTTAAATAGCGATAAGTTAAAAACGGAGCTTCTGTTTTAGCAAGAGTAGTCATGCGTATGTCGTCAGAGAATACACCATGCATAAACATGTAAAATCAAATCTAAAATTTAGTTGTTTTCACATGATATCATAAGATTCCCATCTAACTTATACTATCCATCTGTTCATTCGTATACCTGCTCCTCAATTCGTTGTGATGCACACACGTTTCATTAAAGTGGCAT